TTTTTTTTTCTTTAACATGCCCAGTTAAGGGTTAGTGTACGTGTGTGTGTGTATTAGTTAGGTTTTGTTTATTAGATTTTACACTACACTACAAGCAACAAGTTAGACAGTGTGCGCTTTTTATATACATTTGTTAGTGTTTTGTGCATTTGTTAGACTACAAAAAGAGTTGTTGTTGTTCTTGTTGTTGCTGTTGTGTGTTTATATTATTGTTTTTGGGTGGGTGCAGTTTGTGTTKTTGTTGTTGTTGTTGTTTTTGTTGTTTATGGTACAAACCTAAAAGCGGACTCTTATCAATACCATCACCATCCTCATCATCAGTGTCTGTGTCTGATTGAGTGCTAGTGCAAATGTTTGTTGTTGTTGTAGTAGTAGCTGTAGTTGTTGTTGTTGCTGTTGGCTGCTGTACACTATGTTGTTGTTGTTGTTGCTGCTGCTGCTGTTGTTGTTGTTGTTGTTCCTGATTGCTGCTGCTGCCCAAGCTGCTGTTGCTGTTGCTGTTGCTGCTGCTTGCCGTGCTGCTGGCCGTAGACAGCGTTGCTGTCGTCTCATTATTCAAAGGCTGCTGATCATCGTCTTCATCAGCCTCTTCATCATCCTCATCCAGCTGCTGTCGTTGCTGCTGCTCCAGCTCCAGTTCCAGCTCTCTGTCCAACTCCTCGGCAAGGGCCAGCGAGGCACGCAGCGGCGTTGCATGCAACATGTGACCATTGCTGCTGTTRCGGTTGCTGTTGCTGTTGCTGGCGGGCTTGGGGCGCTCTAAGTAAATTTTAGTCACTGAATTTCGTGAGTTGCAAACAATTTGATGAAGGCAGCAGTTGAGAGCAGTGTGTGTATATATATAAATATAAATATGTGTGTGTGTGTGTGTAGGTGTTAGATAAGTGTGTGTTTAATATACAACATGTATATGTGTGTGTGTGTGTGCGTGTGTAAAAAGAGAGAAGAAATTCATTAAATTGTAACAAATTTGTTGGTTAGTGACAAAAAAAAAGAAGAAATAAGTAAAAAAGGAAAACAACTGCAAACCCATAAAATTGTGTGTGTGTGTGTGTAGTTGTTGTTGTTGTCTATATATGTGTGTGTGCACACACACATATAGTTGAGCGCTTAAGAGAGCTTTAGTACAGCATTAGTCAATAGTAGTTAGCATTTAAATTAATAGAGCAGCAACAGCGAACGATCACCAAACCAACGACAACTTTCAGAGAGATCTGGACAGAGACACAGCGCGATCGAGTTGGTCGGGGCAGGGCGGGGCAGGGCAGAGGTAGAGCTGGAGAGCTACTGCAGTGCCACATCGGCTGGCTGCGCTTGCCTCAACTTACCCTCATAGCCATCGTTCTCGTGCAGCTCATGCGAATCGGCCAGCAGATGCTCCTTGCCCTCGAGCACGGCCAACAGGCATTGGTGTATGCAAACGTATTGCTGTTCCGTTTGCACCATGAAAACGCGCTCTGCAAACGAGAGAGAGAGAGGGAGAGAGAGAAGCGGGAAGCATTAGAGAAGCTCAACTGAATTGTACTATATAGAGGACTGGACATACCCTTGCGCATGGCAAAGACAATGCCAAAGATGTCCACATAGTCGGATTTGTTGATGTGCTGCAGTATTCGATCCAGTGCTATAAATGTGCCCGATCTGCCCACTCCGGCGCTGCAGTGCACGATAATCGGGCGCATATCCGTGCCGATGACGTCCCGGAAGGCGCGCACGAATCGCACCAGAGACTGCGGCGGCTCCGGCACACCAAAGTCCGGCCAGGTGGTAAAGTGGAAGTGTCGCATGATGCGCGATTCACAATTCTGGAAAAGGCAAACAAATTGCATGAGATGAAGTGCTATGACAGGAGAGAGAGAGAGAAGCGTGCTTTATACAAAAAGAGAAGTTTAGTTCACATAGTGATTAGTGTATAAATAAAAGGTGAGAAGCTTAACTCCTAGGGCAACCATTGCTAGCTTCTCTAACAGCTTCTTTCAGGGCTTGAGATTGATATGCAGACTTCACTCAAGAAAGGTAACAGCCAAGCTTATCTTAAGAGACGATTTATTGTTTCTATTTCCTCTAATAGTATATGTCGTATAGTTCCGTAATATATAAGACTGTGAATTGGGCTATAGCTAGCCGGTCTGGCAAATGAAATACCCCATCGGGCTAATGATATTATTAAGATATTACTCTGTACTGCTTTAAGTTATCTTTAAGCTGGCTCTCGACTTGTCAATCTCCATAAATAAATAAATGCCTAGCAAAAGTCTAGGACGAGTACAACTACTGAATAAGCTATAGGCTTACTTTAGTTCAATCCCAGTCTCTCACAAGATTGCCTCTATTTGATTCCTATTTGTAACAAATCCAAGTCTTCTCGTTCTATAAGCACTGTTCTCTCTCTTTCTCTGTCTCTCCCTCTTTGCCGCTCTTCAACTTACCCGTGAGACCATAAACTCGGCTATGGACCAGTCGAGAAAGTGCGTGTCGGTAATGAGCTGCACTTTGATATCACCATAGAATATGGGCACCCGATCGATGGGCCAATACTGGTCGCACTTCTCGCGGCCCTTCTCGAAGCAGCGCGTCAGCATGACGATCGCCCGGGAGTTGCTCTCCCAGCACATGCGCCAGAACTCCTCGCGCGTCGAGTGCAGCGGCCCCTGCGTCACAATGAACTCGCGCGGCGAATTGTGACCCGGCATATAGTTGGCATTGATATAGTCGGAGCCATCGTCGTCGTCCACGGGCTGCAGCTTGAAGCGCGAGTGATCGTACGGCAGAATGTTGGTGAAGCGGTTCTTCGGCCGATTGCATGGTAGATCCGCGAAGCTGCACGCCTGATCACGGCCCACGTGCTTCAGTTCCTCGAACTCCTCGCTGAAGCGAAAGTCCGAGTCGGCCGACATGAGGCGATAGTGCTCCGGGAAGTCCTTGATGTGTATGGGACGATTTGGCGTTATGTAGCCATCCGGCAGTGGCGCCAGCTCGTCCGGCATGCGGGCCAGCTTATTGGTCGCACGGCGCATGCTATGACAGCGATAGCGATAATAGCCCAGGGCAGCCAGCAGGCAGAGCACACAGAGCGCTACGGCGAGCGAGCTGGCCAGCCAGAAGACATCGTCGCGATCCGTGGTAATCGGCTCGCTGTACACCGTATCCGTGAACTTGTCCTCGTCCGTGAAGGCGCGCACCTTGATCCGGTAGGTGGTCGCCGACTTGAGCGGCCCGTTGCAGTAGCCGGTGCGATGCTTGTCGCAGCCAGCGCTGCCGATGGTGAAGTCCTCGAAGCCCAGGCTCCGCAGGCTGGCATTGGTAAACGGATTGTACGGTTCGATGGCCTGGTAGGGCAGCCAAACGGTGTACGACTGCACATCCTGCCAGCTGGGCATCTCCAGGCCGGACGCGTTCTTGCCCACATCCTCGGCCACAATGATCGTGTACCAGCGCACCAGACCGTGGGCATTCGAGAAGTAGCTCTGCCGGTAGCGAATCTGTATGGTGGTGCTGGTGTGGCCCATTGCGATGGGCATGATGTGGGCGGGCGGGGTCGGCGGCGCCAGTATGGGCATTAGCTGGCGATGCTCACGCTCTGCCCCATAGCCATAGCCCAGCGCCGATTTGGCCTGAATGCGAAAGATATAGCTGTTGCCCGGCACCAGGTTCTCGATGCGCGCCTGCGTCGCATTCGCGGGCAGCTCATAGCTGACCGTGTCCCCAGCATCGTCGGCATTCTGGCAGCTGATGCGGAAGTGCTCGATGGGTCCGTGCTGCTCCTGCGCAGCCAGCAGCCACTCGAAGCTTATCTCGCCGGGCTGCACATCGCTCGGCTGGAAGTAGTCGACGCGACCAGGCGCTGCCGGCAGCGTCTGATAGCTGGCCGAGATGGGCGCACTGGTGCGCATCATGGCGCTGCCCGGCTCGCTGCCCGCTCTCGCCGAGACGGTGAAGGTGTAGTTGTGATACGGCTGCAGGCGCTGCAGCGTCAGCTGCGTCTGCGTCGTAATGTTCTGCAGCAGCTGCGGGCTCTCCGCATCGGCGCTGAGGTATTGCAGCTCGAAGTCCGTGTATTCACCAGCTGGCGCTGTCCAGCGCAGGGTTATCTCGCGTGCGTCCAGCTGGACGGCCTGCAGATCACCGATGGGCAGCGGATGCAGCCGATACAGACGCTGGATGGGCAGGCTGGCCACGCCCCCGCTGACCGTCCACACGGTGATGTTGTAGAGGCGACCCGGGGTGAGGCCCGTAAAGCTAAGTTTCCTCTCGGTATCATTGGCCAGCTTCTCCTTGTCCTTGATGAGCGGATCGCCCAGTGAGAAGCGATAGAGATCGAAGCGTGTGCTGGAGGCGGGCGTGGGCGTGTAGTTCAATATGATGCTATTGCTATTCGATGCGTGCTCCTGCTCCGACTGGCCCTGCTGCTGATCCTCGTCCAGGGCATTCGAGATGAACACGTCGGACTGAATCAGCGGCATGGTGCGCGTGGACAGATGCGTAATGCCGGAGCGTATGCCATTGGAGCTGGCCTGCACCTCGAATTTGTATTGACGACCCGGCGACAAGTCCTCAATGGGTATGCGAACGTTGGAGGAGCCAACTGTAAAGGATTAGAGTTTAATATCGCGTATCACTTATCTCTCTCTCTCTCTCTCTCTCCCATATACTCACCCTCCTGTTCCGCGGGCAACTGCGTCACATTCTTGTACTCCACCAGCTGGGGCTCATCCGTGGCCCACCACTTGATCGTATAGTAGTCCACATGCCCCTCGGCTCGCGGCCACTCCAGTGTCAGGTTACGCGAGTCCACCAGTGGCACCACATTCGAGACGGGCTGCGGTGGCATCGTTATATTCAGCTCGAGCGGCGTCGGGCTCTCCACGCCGAAGCTCAGCGTGTTCACCTGAACCAAATAGCGCTCGCCATAGCGCATGTCCTCGATGCGTGCCTCGGGCTCGTGGACATTGGGCAAACGCTGCCAGGTGCTCGCCGCTGTGCGATAGCGCACGGCGTATTCACTGAAGTCGCTGCCCTCCGGCGGCAGCCAATGGAGCAGCACCAAATTCGTATTCACTGTGCGCTGGGTGAGATTGCGAGGAGGTTTCGGGACTGCGGGTGAGCGGAGCAAGAGAGAGCGACGTTAAAGAGGTTAAGTTTACATATGAGTCAGCCCACTAATAACAGTATATGACTTGATTTATATCAATACGAGTGTGATAATCTCTGCGCTGTGTGCATTGGCGGATTGACTCATTGCTATTTTTGCAGTTGATAAATAAATCAGCCGATTTCCCGAATTACATTTGACTCTAGTGCTCTGTCTAAAGTTATTGGTCAGTAAAAATACTATTCTGAACTGTTTTAGTTTGACTGTGAACATGAACATGAATGTATCAAGAGTGAATCACATTGAACTGCTCCGTTTTAATACTTGAATCTAAAGTTTAGAGCTATACTTGCTATACTACTATCTATTTGTTTTAACACTTTGCTGCCCATTCAATTCTTGGCGTCAATGAATGATTCGAGATTGAGTTACTTAAATGGTTAAATGATTTAAAAAAGAGTCCTGACATTCGCTATTTCTTATTTTAAATGAATCCAATCAATTCATATGAGGATGGGCATGATTCTACAGTTGTATCATATAGTTTTACCAACAGTTCTTTGCTATTACATTTCTATTCCTATTCAACTCTCAGACTAAATGAACCGATGCACAAGATGTTATCTAATTAATGATTCGAAAATGCATTCAGAACTGAATCAAGTCTTAAAATTCTATCAAGGAGTTATACTTTGAAATAAGTGCACATAGTTATATTGACAATTTTGATGTAACTCCTTTTGAACTGAACTGAAAATGATTCAAATGATTCGAATTGAAAATGATTCAAATGATTCGAATTGAATCATTTTCAGTTCAGTTCAAAAAGCTGCATTCATAATTCTGTAATAGCAACTGGCAACTGGCTCAACACTTACAGACTGCCTGGAAATAGGCATGCGGTTCGCTGCGCATTTCGTGACTTATGGCGTAGACCTTGATCTCGTAGCCGGAGCCGGGATGCAGATACTTGATGATCAGATTGGTGAGATTCGTGCTGATGGTGCGCTCCTCCTTGGTGCCATTGCGCTGATAGTGCACCTCATAGCGATCCTGCTGCGAGGTGACATCGCTGCGCCAGCTGATGTTCAGGCCCTGGTTAATGCTGCGCAGCTCCTGGATGATGGGCGCCGCGGGTCGGGTGTCGCGTATCAGGCTGGTGCCATTGGAGCTGATGCCATTGGACAGGGCCTGCACCTCGATGCTGTAGCGTCTGCCCGGCAGCAGCTGGTCCAGCTTGTATTCCGTGAGCGTCGTCTCCACCTGCTGCTGTGGCGTGCTGACAGCCTCATCCGTGTCATTGTACTTCTCATAGTAGCTGCAAAAGGTAAAGACAACGAGTCTTAGGATCTGTCCAGATCGTCTCCTCTCACTCTTCCTTTGCACACTCACCTTATCCGATAGCTATCCTGTTTGCCCGTCTCCGCCGGCTCCCAGGACAGGTGCACCGCATTGCTGCGGTCATCCAGATAGCCGTGCAAATTTCTCACCGGAAGTGGACGCAGCGTAATCTCCGCACTGGCCGGCCACGAGTGGACATTGTCTGAGATGGTTTTCACCACGACGTCGTAGCTCTTGCCCGGCTCCAGTATTTCCGGATAGTCGAAGTAAAGGCTGCTCGCCTCGGTGCGCGGTACAGTGAACACCCGCCGCGAGGTCGATATGGAGATCTCAAAGCTTTCGTATTCGCTGTAGGTCCGCGGCGGCTCCCAGCGCACCCGGAACGAGCTGGTCGTCGTATATTTGGGATCGAAGCTAACGTTTAGTGGCCGTTCCGGTACAGTGAAGTACCGTGCCGTGGTCGGCACTGACGTCTCATTCTCGGAGACTGTCTGCACGGATATGTTGTAGGCGCGACCAGGCACGAGACCCTTGAAGGCCGCCTGCGCCGGTCCAGGTGGCTCGCCCTCCCGCTCCACATAGAGCACGCTCTCGATGGCATCGTCCGGCGTTATTGATACCTTGTAGTGGGTGTAGAGACCCGCCGGATATGGCGGCTGCCACAGCACCAGCAACGTTGTCTCGTTCCGGAACCAAACGATGAACTTGCCGGGCGTATTGGGTTCTATATGGGACATGGATTGATTTTTTGAGGAGGAACGATGGAGTTATAAAGACGTTTTACTACACTGGACAACTAACGGTTCGGAGTGGACAAGCTGGACAGGTGGGTTAGCACTGTTAATATGACACTTACAGCTAATACAAACTACAGAAACAAAGACGCAGCACACTCTTGCACAATGTTAACCAAGGTGGCTGAGCCCAAGTACACCAATACGTGTTTAAACGAAGGCGGGTTAAAGGTTTATTAGTTAAGCAATGAAGGTAAAGCTTAAAAGAAGTGTTAAGGGGTTAATGCGAAAAACCAACCACTCTTCGAATTAATATTTAAATTTAACTTAAGACTAACATAAGGAATTATTAAGACATAGACAGTTGGAACAAAGAAGGAAAGGAAGGAAGGAAAGATATGGAACAATGGAATAAACAAGTTAAGGAACATTTTATTGAAGAAATTAAGGTAACTGAAGGACAGGGAGGACGGGTAAGGAAAGCAATGATGAAATCAAATTTTGTTAAGGAAGAATATATTATTATTATCAATAATAAGGACATAAGGACAGAATGATGTAAAGAATGACGACAATAAAGTAGGAAGCATGACAGTAATGAAGGAAATACCAAAAGCAAGAAATAGAGGGGATTTACTGGTTAGAAATGAAAAGGGAAAACTCAAAACCAAAAATATTACTAACAAGTAAGAACGTTGCAGTCGGGCGTTACCGACTGCGGAATACTCATTCACATCCCATCAACAATTTAGTAGTTAAGTTTCGTTCTAATACTGTAGAATATACAGGTTTTTCCGATTTGNCTTCAGACTTTATAGAATCATACCATTAGCTGACGTGCAAAATTTCAGCATTCTAGGTTTACAACTTTAGGAGATACAGTTTTATCCGATTTGCCACGCCCCCAATGGGCGTAGATATATCCGCCATAGCTCGTGATCTTGGGTGGTCAACGCGGACCTACATACCAAGTTTCAGCTTTCTAGCTCTTCAACAAACATGATTTCTGGTATATCGGAAAATGCATTTTCCGATTTGCCACGCCCCTAGTGGGCGGATCGGGAAAATTTTAACACTTTATAAATCGGAGATATACACGAGTATGTGTTCCAAATTTCAAGTCTCTAGCTTCAATAGCGCCGAAATAGATTGCGTTCATACGGACAGACGGACAGACGGACAGACGGACGGACGGACAGACGGACAGACGGACAGACGGACGGACAGCAAGACGGACATTGCACAAAACCAATATACTGATTCACTTTCGTGAATGAGTATAAAAATCCTGATGAGACTTTGACGAAAGCATATGTAAAAAGATCCAGGGAAAGTCTACTGATTCTGATGATGCCTTAATTATCTATATGGAAAATAATGATATGAATTCTGGGCTTGTAAAGAGTAAATGCCCAAAAAAAAAAAAGGAATGTATAATACGAAAATAAGTAGAGTCATAGAAACCGCCTAGACTTAGTTCATTAGAAGCTTGGTTAACGCTGTGCAGAGGCGCTCGAATTACTTAAGGAGTATTTAAATAGTCGTATGCGCATTTTATTGGCAATAAACTAGACACACAAACAAGCGACAACAAATTGGGATGTTACTTAAGGTTACCTTCGAGTAGATCCACTGCTCAGCTGCATAACATTCAAGAGACAGTAAGCAACACAGAGAGAAAGTGAGTGTGCAAAGTTTGGGGAGGAGACTGTTATTTTTGTTGATTTCTTCTTCTGTTAATTGCAACCACAACCAATGGGAAAATGTTAAGCCAAGGAAAGTTCTTTTCACACCATTTACTTGGTTAGGATTATAAGAGCAACGAAGATTAGGCCCGACACCATTGTTAATAGAGCTGAATTGGTTTAGTAATTGCAGCGATTGTGGGGACTGCGTGTGCCAGCGATCCGGGACTTACTTGTGGTGAAATTGCGACTTGTATAGGCCACCGATTCCTTGCCCTGGTAGACGGTGTATGCCTGTACCTGATAGGTGCCGCCCGGTGTCAGCTCCTTGGCGGACAGCTGCAGGGTATCGTTGCCGGCGAGCAAATAGCTGCGATTGTATTCGCTATGCGGCGGTTCCGTTAGACCCAGAACTTTGATCTTAAAACCGGAGTATTTGCCCGTACTCGGAGGTTTCCAGGTGATGAAGGCGCTTTTGCTCGAGCGCAGCTGTACGCTGAGATTGTCCGGCGGATCGGGTGCTACAAGAGAGAGAGAGAGAGAGGGAGAGTGAGAGGGARAGGGGGAGGGAGAGATGATTTAGCAAAGTAAAATCTCAGTTTAATCGAACCCCCCTTTACCTGTCGTTATATTCACTGTCCAGGTGAGCAGCTCGCGATGCGTGGAATTCGTGTAGTACAACCAAAAATTGTACTCGCTGCCCGGCAGGACTCGAGACAGTTTAATGTCCTGCCCGATTTCGCTGGCCGGTATTGTCGTATTCGGTTCCGGATAACCAAATGGCGGACTGTAGTCGATGCGGTAGAAGGCATTGTCATTGCTGCTCGCATTTGGCACGCTGATGACCAAATCGGCGCCCTCGGTTACCTGCGAAACAAAGAGAGGGAGAGAGTGAGTGAGTGAGTGAGAGAGAAAGAGAGAGTGAAGGGGCTTTCGGTTGGGGAGGAGCTCTCTTTGGCCGATGCGCTGTGTGGCATGGGCATAACTGACCTATATTTTGAAATATTTTATCTTGCACTCTTGCACGCTGCTGTTTCCCAACCCATTAATCATAGCGATAAGCTGCACACACACACACACACACAGAGAGACACAGAGAGAGAAAGAGAGAGAGAGAAAGAGACTAACGATAAGAGTCATAGAGCGCCAGACATTTGTAGCGCGGCCCAAAATACACCAACTAAAAGTTGACTCACAATGTCAGGGCTAGAGTGATGCGCTCATCTGTCGCACGCTCTCGATATACATATGTATATGTATATATGTAGCTTCTCTCCCTGTCTGTAGCGCTTGCATATCGTGCGCTCGTTAGGCGTTTACATTAATCTATATATGCGATTATGATAATGACTCTGAAACTGTCAAATGACTCAACTCAACTGTGTCAAATGCATTCGCGAGTTGCATAAGTAATACGCTACGTCTCAATTCAATGAGCCTAGGGGGCTAGCCAATTTTCGATTAACTCATGTGGCTTACGAAGATATTCGGACGATAATACCGAAGGGAAACATGGAGCCAAAGTGGACCGATTGACATATGGCATATCTATAGAAATTGCTGATCGCTTTGTTATGTCACAATCAATATACCTCCGAGAATCAGTTTCAAGGTAAGCAAAAGTAAATCGCATTATAGTTCCTCCTCTTTCTATTCTGTTTTATCATCCAAGCGGGGGATGCTGCTGCCAGAACCAGTTGAAATACGTGTTCAGAGGCAAAAGAAAAACAAATTGCAGTAATGCGAAGTTCGTTCAATATCTAGATTCACAATTTATTTCATTAACTATTTGCAAAGCGATAATGAAGCTAATGATTAGCAAATCTCTTCAGGCCTGACTCGATAATTTAGTGGCATATTAAACAACAGCGGATAATACGCGGATCCATCGATGACGCCTATCACGAATTCCAAAAGCAATACAAAAAACAATAACAAAGAAACAGAAAAAAAAAAATCTTGAGCACGTGACATATGGAAGTAAAGAGAAATTGAAGTTCAGCGACGATTGGTTCGAGTCCGGGATGGATTTTGATGTTGAATGAAATAATTTCCCAAGCTGTGGAAGCAGCAAAGCGGAAAATCACAATGATTTTTCCAATAGATTTGAATACGAATATGAATATAAATAGGGATCCGATTCGAATTATATTCCTCCATGTGACATGCAAACAATGGAACAATACGGAAGTTCATTTAGCTAAATTTCCGATTTTATTGTGTTTGCTTTTTGTTTTGTATTTGGCGTTTTTGCTACTATAAAAATTTTTTGATTGGAGGCCTCAAATTGGCATTGCGCCATTAAAGCCCGCCTCCACATTTGATGAATAATTTGTTAGCTTACAATTTGCAATTTACAATTTGCCATTTGAAAGCAGACGCGTTCTAAGTGGAGTATATAGCACTATAATTGAATGTGAGTAAGCAATCGAATGGCTTGGCTTATTAAACCAGCTGTTAGATGTTATAACGTTACAGGAAATGGCACAAAGAAGAACAGAGAAATGCAATGATATAATTTTATGAAGATAGTAAACAGGTGCGATAGCTAAAGAAGAGCAACGATTGCAGCCAGTAAGACGTTTACGAAAGCTGAGCGTAGAGCGAAACTGTTAAGAGTAAGCAAAGGAAGAGGTGAAAAGGTGAAAGTCAGAGTGAAGTGGGAGCTGAGGCAGCATTAGAAGAGCATGAGAGGAGGAGTGATAGTAAAAGAAAAGAAGAACTTAGTATGGGCAGGGAAAGATGGGGAAGTAGAGAGAAAGAAAGATACAGGGAGGATGAGAGAGAGAGAGAGAGAGCGAATGAAATATGAGAGATAGAAAAATAACCAGAAATAGATAAACAAAGGGGGAGATTAAGAAAACAACACAGGGAAGGATAAACTTTAATGAATTTCAAGAATTTGCGCAACAAAAGTATATATTTATTGATTAGTTTTATTTATTTATATTCAATAACTCTCAATTAATAAAGCTGAAAAGCCGCATCAATGTTTAGCCTGGCTAAGCGAAATGTGAGCTCGAAATAAAAGTTTGTTTGTTTGTTTGCACGGAGTAAAAAGCTAATCCGTCCTAATAATGCTTTTCGATACGTACGCGCTATTTATGGACTACCTGGACCTTAGGTGCTAATAAACGAAGATCGAATAACACAAAATAATTCTAAATGTGAACAAATTGTTTATTTATTCGCACAGATATGTGAAAAATACTTCAAAATTAGCTGAAGTTGTATGTAAATGTGAATGTGTGTGTGCAAATGATATATATGTATATATCTATCTATATATATACAAATATCTGTATTCATATTTATATATATATATCTACATGAATCTTAAGCTTGCAAAAAGGAAAGTAAAGTTAAATCATATTTCGCTTGAAGTGTTTACTTATTGACTCTTATAACTAGGTGTGCGTGTGTGTGTGTGGGCGTCTATTTGGGGATATTTATAAAGCACTTGCAGTTGACATTGCCCACTTATCTGATCTGTTGTTGTTTTGCCTTTCACTTTTCGTTTATGATATTTTTGTATAATTTTTTTAAAACATTTTTTGGGCGCCTCTGGGAAAGTTGCGCGAGTGCGCATAGCAGGCAGCTTGTGTCCACCGTCGGCCAACTGACGGCTGACGGGCTGGTGACTGCTTTGGCACTTGGCACTCGATTCGCATTAATGAAGCGTCGACCTTGTCCGCTCATTACAAATGCAATGCAATTGTCGCCCGCGGCAATTGCAGCTGCAATTAGTTTGCATTGTTTTTGTTTTTGTTTTTGTTTTTGTTTTGGTTTTTGCATAACTGAAACCTCAAGACGAGGTCGTGAACCAATCAAACACACACACACACACACACACAAAGAGAGTGACCCCTCGCTGAAACGAACCCAATGCCAAGCGGTGTTTGATGCTCATGATCTTGATGTGCAAGTGCGTTTGTGTGTGAGAGAGAGAGAGAGAGAGAGAGAGAGAGAGAGAGGGAGATAAGTATCGGGTAGTAGGGTATTTAGGCTATGCTCGAACTAAAAATAATTCCATGACGCGCCAATTTCCTGACCATGCGGCGCTACTTAAATAATTTGTAATAATTACAAAACTAAACAAAACATTTTTTTCCATAATTTTTTTTTTCTTTTGAAAACCAACACAAAAAGCACTCACATAACAAATAATAAATAAAAGAGAAGCACAACAAAAGAAACAACTAAACGCAGCTCAAATAAAAACCACAAACGTAAATTTTTTGCGTTGAGCTGGCAAAAAAAATAAATAAATAAAGCCGAAAATCAACGTAAAACAAAATCAAATCAAAGAAATTTTTTTTTTTTTGGAATTCGTAAAGCAACGCAATTGAAATACTCTAACAAAAGCTTAAGCATAGTTGAATTTGAATGTGAAACCAAGAAGAAAATTAAGTTTCTCATATAATTGATTAAATTCATGGAGTTTCCTAGGCAAATGACAAACTGAATACAGAAACCTATCGAGCGACTGAATTGGTTTGGCGTAGTGTTAGAGCTGGAAACAGTTCCAGTTTTCGATTGATTCTACAAATAGTAATTGACATTAAGTAATATTTGTAGTAATATAGCACATTATGCTTATTGTATTGTATTAGGCACAAATGCCAAAAATCTAGTTTTGTTTTTTATCAGTTTTCTTTTTCTAGTTTTAGGTGATCCGCTTCGATTTAAATAATTTAGCTTTAAGTTTAATTTGAATGGTTTTTAACAATATCTAGTGCTCGAAAATCAGAATTGGCATAAAACATAGCTTTATAATTTATATAAACTCGACTTTTTTGGAACCATTAATATAAACTCTTTTTATCGCTTTTGTCAAGAGAGACAGAAAGAGAGAGAGAGAGAGAGAGAGAGAGAGAGAGAGAGAAAGAGAAAGAGAGAGAGAGAGATAAATATAGATATAGATATAGATATAGATATAGATATAGATATAGATATAGATATAGATATAGATATAGATATAGATATAGATATAGATATAGATATAGATATAGATATAGATATAGATATAGATATAGATATAGATATAGATATAGATATAGATATAGATATAGATATAGATATAGATATAGATATAGATATAGATATAGATATAGATATAGATATAGATATAGATATAGATAAAGATGTAGATATAGATAGATAGATTTAGGAGTAAAGTCTGATTGATTAGGAGTTCGAAACACAAACATTTCCTTATGAATCACTGATCAGGCTTACATATATCTCTTTTGCTCTTTATACACATATCTAGTCTATGTTTATCTAGGCATATTTTCGACTCGATGTGACGCAATCTGAATACTCTCTTTGTGGAGGGTATGGGCAGTCGCGTGCATTAGATGTGGGCAACACAGCGGGCAGGTGCGCGCCATGTGGGTCGGCGCAGAGGCAGGGGCGGGTGAGGGGAGCTGTGGGGCCGGTCGTTCGTGCTGTGCGTGTGCATGTATAGGCGTGCGTGTCAGTGTGTGTGTGTCTGTGTGATTTATAAAGCGTTGTTGGTTTTTGCTAAATATTTATATGGCAGCCGCCGAAACCAGTTAGGCGAGCATCAAGTTTTATTTATTTCGTTTTGTATTTAATTTCTTCTTCTTCATCTTATTTTGCTTCTTTAGCATCAGCTACTTCTTCTTCATCTTCCTACTCGCCGTCTTCTACTTTTATTAGTTTACTTATTTATTATGTAGCTTGTAGTTGAATTTTTCAATAAACAAATCGAATTTCGAGCAAATCAATTTTTGCAATTTACTAAAAACAGCCTAAGAAAAGAAAAAAAAAAAAAAAAAAAAAACCCAACTAGATATTCGCCAGGTACCTGGGGGCTCTAGTGCACCCTCCTCCTCTTGCCC